GTGAGGTCGTGTGTGTGTGATTATGAGGATTGTATGGTATGTCTTCCCGCCCCGTATGGGAGAAGTGGGAGGAGGAGGGGGTATGGAGGAGGAGGCGGCGGAGGAGTATGTTGCTGTTGAACGGGAGGGGTGATGGTATGGAGGAGGAGGAGGAGGAGGAGGAGGAGGAGGAGGAGGAGGAGGAGGAGGAGGAGGAAGTAAGGTGTTTTAGTCGCCAAAACCGGGTTCCCGGTTCCTGGTTCCCGGGTCGCACTGGGATGATTTTCCACAACGCACGGGGTAAGAAACCTATGTGCAACATCTTCTGTAGTAGGGTTCTGTGTATAACCGATAACGGCGACTGCTCTGGTCCACCCGGTCCCTCGGCGGCGCGCTGGTCCGGCCGCCCTTCTACCGAACGTCGTCGAGCGCGCTGTGAAACGGCGTCAGGGGGGGGCCTCACTGGGCCCAGCGGCACGCTCCAACGGCCCATCGCCGCGGCGGACGCAGACGCCCGGCCGCCGGCGCGGGGGCGCACGGCGCCGCCAGGCGCATCGCCGCGGCTGCTGGGGCCCGCCGCTGCCGGGCCAGCGCGCCCCGCAGCCGCGTTGCGGCGAGAGAGCTGCTGCGCGGGCTCACTGCGGCGAGGGGGGTGCTGCGCGGTCTGCTGCGCCGGCTGCTCCGCTGGCGGCTGCTGGGCCTCGCGCGCAGCCTGGCCGGGTGCTGGAGCGGCCGCTCCACTTTGCCCTGCGGGCGGCCAAGTCCCGCAAGGCCACGCGGCAGCACCGCATGAGTTCGTTGTGGAGCAAAACTTTTCCCTGCTGGGACTCCGGCCACGCCCGGAACTCCACCTCGTTCGTGGCGTCGTCCAGGAAGCCGCCCAGGCGGGGGAACTACGCAAATGCGGCCTGGAGCACGTCGCGGGCCTCATCTCGCGAAGGGCGCGCGCGCGCTTCTTGCGCTTGCGGGCAGCGTTCTCCGCGCCCTCGCCCGGGTCGCAGCTGGCCACAGAATAGTTGCCCACCAGGCTTCCCAACTTGGCCCGAGCGGCGCCAGAAAGCAAGCACTGGCGGACGAAGGCCCTGTCCAAGAAGGGAGTCGTCGCGCCGGGGTCAACGGAAAATATCATGCCACTGTTAGGGCCCAGCCCCACCTTGTCGAAGTTCGCCTCCGTGTCCACGCCCCCCCAGCAGAGCGGGGCCGCGAGCGGCGAAGGCGCCGTCTCCTCTCCAGTGCCCGGCGCGGGGGCGCTGGCAGCGGCCGCGGGCGGGGAGGCAGCGGCCGCCAGAGGGGGCGCCTGGCGCTGCTGCTGCTGGGGCGGCTGCCCCTCGCCCTCGGCGCGGGCTCTCGCGAGGTCGGCGAGGGCGGCCTCCTGCCCCCCCTCCTCCCCCTCCGGCCTCGGCGAGCGCGGGCTCTCCGCAGGCTGCGAGCCCTCGCTTCCAGCGCGCCCCGGCGGCGCGCCGCGGGGGCCCCCCCCTGCGCCGTCGCCGCGCGAAGCCAATTCTGCCCCATCCTCCTCGTCGTCTGCCGGGGGGAGAGGATCGGCGGGGCTGCCGCCGGCGCCGCCCGCGAGCTCGGGCGCGGGGAATGGCAGAAGCTGCGTCGGCAGCGCAGTCGCGTACAGGCCAGGCTGGTAGTCGCCGCGGATAGCATCCGCGAGGCCGAGACCGGGCGCGGCCAAGTCATCCTCAACGGGGGGCGCCGCGCGCCAGGCCTCCCGAAGGAGGAGGCTTGTGTTCACCAAGCGCCACGCCGTCTCCACGCGGTCCTCCGTGATCAGCACGACGTCGCGGCCCTCGGGCAGAGGGGCGCCCCCGCCGTACTCCAGGACAGCCAGGGGGCCCGCGAATCTGCCCACGCGCTCCGCGGCTTTTGAATGGAGGGCGGCAGTGCGAACGTCATCCTCGCACATGTCAGCCCGATTGCTCTGCGCCACCTGGTTGCCCGGGAGGATCTACTTGGCGCGGCCCTCGAACTCGAGCACGGCGCGCGGCTTATCATTGAATAGTTCAGCAATGCGCCGAGCCGCCGCCCTGATGCGGTCCGCGGGGTCAGGCAGATTCCAACGCGAGGAGACGCAGTACTCGGCGGCGACGAGCCCGCCGTCTGGACGGCACAAGTACCGCAATCGACTCTGGCGGCCGTCAGGGAACGAGACGACGCAGCCGCCGGGAGGCCCCTGGATGACGAGGCCGCCCTCGCACGGCGCAGGCTGAGAGCGATCGTCGACCTGGAGCCCAGCGCGAATCGCCGCTGCGGGGTCGTCCTTAAAGCGATCCCACCCGTAGACCGCGGCTTGCTGGGCCGTGAGAGGCAGCCACGCCCGCCCATCATCTCGGGCTTCGGGCTCGCAGTCCTCGGGCAAAGGCGCGTGTCGAGGCGCCGCGCGGTCGAGGCAGAACACGAGTCGCTCTTTCGTGGCCGCCGTGTGGGAGCCCAAACAACCGCGGCCCATAGGAATGGCCTTGTCGGGGTGGGCGTTGCCGAGAATGGAGATAGACACGGTCTTGTCCCTCGACATGCCGAAATTGGTGCTTGTGCGCGTCGCCCTCCTGGTCTTGCCAGGCTGCAACAGATTCAGCAACGACGCGTTTCAGGAGGGCGTCTTGTCCTTGTCCTTGGTCGCATTACCGAGGAGGCCCAAACCGTCAAAGAACTCGTGCGCCTCGTCCAGGTTGAAGCCGCTGCCGAAGCAGACCCTGGCCGGGATGCCCGGGTCAGTCTTCTTGCCCCCAACCTTGCACTCGACCTGCTTGCGCGCAGCAGAACACCTGAAGAAAAACTCCGGGAACGTGAAGCTCTGGAGGGCGGCAGAATTCACTACGAGTCCCCCGCCGTCGCTGGCGCGCGTCTTGCCTCCCCTCGCGAGCCTCGTTGAACATGTCCTGGGCCAGGTCCGCCACGACGTCGTCGCAGGTGTCGAACGTCTCCTCGATGACGGGATGCAGACGACTCTTGCCTTTCTGCGGCACTCCCACCTGGATGACGACCGCGGTGAGAGGGCACGCTTTCTGCGACCGCAGCTTGACGCGGGCACCTTTTCGTCAAGGCCGGGACGGCGCCCAGCAACATCATCGTCGTGGAATAAAAGCCCTGGCACGTGGTGGTCGCTATTGGGTGGGCGAATTTATACACGGCCTCTGGCAAGTGTTCGGCTGCATTGAAGTTCTCGTCGACCTTCTGCTGCGCGGCGTCCATGAGCGCGCGGATCTCTGCCGCGGTGAGCTCGGGGGCGGGATCTTCGGCATTGCCGCCGACAGAAGGCAGCCGAACTTGCGCGAGCCGGCGCGCGGCGAGACGACGGCGCAGCCAGGGCTTCTGAAACGGGCTTCGGAAAGGGTGGGTGAGACAGACAGAATGCAAAGAAGAAGCGGATGCATTGGAGAGGCTGGCCGTGGCAAGATGATGGCCGGGAGACAATGCCACCGCCGCCAACAAAGACCTCACACGGCTGGCGGCCTCAATGGGGCGATAGGCATTCCTGAGAATTTCTGATTTCGACCATCGCCGACACTGCGCCGAAGCTATGAGCGAGCACGGCCCGATAGATCGCAACCGCTCCGGCCTTGTACGTGTGTGAATGTTCTCAGGACGGCACGACACATGGAAGCCGCTAGGGCTACCAGTGTAAATGTGAGACACACGACGCCAGACATCGCACTCGAAGCTAACAGTGTGAGTGTGAACCAAAACGGTTGCATAGATGACCCCCCCCCGACCACTGTGAATGCGAACCAGGCGGCCCAATAGATCCCAGCCGTTCGGGGTACCAGTGTAAATGTGAACCAATCGGGCTTGACCGCTTCAATTCTGCAACGCTGCAAGTGATGTCGGTCTGGATGCCTTGCCCTGTGTGGTTTGAACAGGGCGTCCTGCAATGGTGATCGCTGCGAATTCCACCGACCATCTAGGCGTAGGTGGCCTAACAAACTGTTGCCTAACACGTTCTGTGTGGCCTCTTTTAGAGACATTGATTTTCTTCCCCTTCGGGCGGGGGGGAGGAGGGGGGGACAGGGATTGGAGGGAGAATGCTGAAGGGAGGAGGGATAAACTCAGCATTGGAGGACGTACATCAGTCGAGGGCACGTAGATGAAGTGCCGGTGGCAAAGGGCAGGAAACGGTGAGGGACGGGGGGAAGCAGGTCGGGGGGCAGGGAGGGGGGGAGAAGGGGGGGAACTCTCAACATTGGGGGTTCTGTCGTTCGCGAGCGGTGATGAGGTATCGGTGGAGGGGGGGCGAAGTGGGGGAGGGAAAGAGGGGAGAAAACAGGAAAGAGGTGTGGAAAAGGGGGGGGCGCTCCATCAAGGAGATTTGCCAAGAGACCGGAAGCATACGGAGACCATGAGCACAGAGCCCGGACCCGCAGCTCTCAAATCTCCCGGGGCTTCTCGCGTGTCTCCTGGGGTTCCCAGAGTGTTGTCGCATGTTCCCTACCTAGGCTCTGCCTAGAAGGGTTCTTACCCTCTTAGCTTAAAGGGGCCGGGCAGTGGAAATCGACCCGGGCGGTTCCCCCAGGATCCGCGTTCCCCCAGTTACAATCCCTTAGCTTAGCGTTGTCTATCTCATCTTAGCTTAGCTTATTTCATCTTAGCTTAGCTTGGATTAGTCTTAGCTCAGGTGAATCTTAGCTTAGTTTACCTTCATCTTAGCTTCACTGAGCTTTAGCATAGCAGAGCACAGCATAGCATATCATAGCGCACCATAGCATAGCACAGCACAGCACAGCATAGCGCAACACAGCACAGCACAGCACAGCGCAGCATAACATAGCATAGCACAGTGCAGCATGACATAGTATATCATAGCATAGCATAGCATAGCAAATCAAAGCATAACATAGCATAACGCAGCTTAGCATTGCATAGCATATCATAGCATAGCTTAGCATAGCACATCATTACATAGCATAGCTTAACATATCATAGAATAGCATATCATAGCGCAGCATAGCATAGCATAGCATAGCATAGCATAGCATAGCGCAGCATAGCATGGCATAGCATAGCAGAGCAACTAATGCTGCTTTCATAGGGGCTCCAACTTCTAGGTAGGGTCGCACTGGGGTAATTTTTGTTCGAGGCCAAGAAGGCCTGAAGACGGGCCAATAAGGCCCGAAGAGGCCGCGACGGCCCAAGAGGGGTCCGAGTCGCCGAACGATCGGTCAAAGACGCCCAAGATGGCCTCCGGACGGTCCAAGAGGCCTCCAAGACGCCCCAACAGGCCTCTTCAAGAGCACTCGCAGGAGGGCCCCAAAAGGCAAAAGTCAATGATTTCCCATGAGTTGTTGAAGTTTTGTGGCGTTCTCGCCTGTTCGGCTTCCCGACGCTCCAAGACGGCCCAAGAGGTCCCCAAGATCGCCCCAAGAGGCCTCACGCTCCACAGGGCCGAAGGGCGCCAAGACGGCCTGAGGAGCCTCCAAGACTGCCCAAGAAGCACCCAAGACGGCACCAACAGGGGGCCCACACGGGGGATCCGAACGGACCATTTCAGACTTCGGCCCCGAGAGGCCGCCAAGCGGCCCGCAAAAAAGACCAAGAAGCCCCCAATATGCTCCCAAAAGAACACCCCCAAGGCGCCCCGAAGAGGCCCCAAAACTGCCCCCCAGAAGCCCCCGAGAGCGCTCCGATGAGACCCCAAGAAGCATCCCTAAGGACTCGGACCCAGAACCCAAGCACGGCGGGTAGATCCGCCGCCCCCTGTGACTTGCCACAAGGGTGCCTGGCGTGCTAAACTTCAAAAGATTTATGGTTCTTGTAGCACTCCCCCTGGGGCGTCGGCCGTTGCCGCTGGCCACCCGGAAGGCCACGCAAACAACTTCAACGTCAGAACGGAAGTCCCCCAAGACGGGTCAAAATGGCCTCCAAGAAGACCAAGATGGCCTCCAAGTTCGCCCAAGAAGGTCCGAGATGGCCGCCAAGATGGCCCAAGAGGGGTCCAAGATGCCTCCAAGTCCGGCCAAGAAGGCCCAAGAGGCCTCCAAGACGGCCCAGGACGGCCTCCAAGAGGTCCTCCAGGAGGGCCCGAAGAGGCCAAAAACATTGATGTTCCTGAAGTTGTTGAAGGAGCTTGGCATTTGCTTCTGTTTGGCCTTCCGAAAGCCCAAGACGGCCCAAGAGGCCCCAAATATCTCCCCAAGATGGCACCGACCGCCTCCAAGATGAGCCCATGACGGCCCAAGAAGCCTCCAAGACAGGCCCAAGAGGGCCTCCAAGTTCGCCCAAAGTGGCCCGAGATGGCCTCCAAGACGGCCAAAGAGGCCTCCAAGAGATCCCTCAGGAGGGCCCGAAGAGGCCAACACCATTGATTTCCCATAAGCTTTTGAAGGATTTGGGCATTTGTTTCTTTTCGGCCTTCCGACGGCCCAAAAGGCCCCCAAGATCGCCCCAAGATGGCCTTCAAGGCCTCCAAAATGATCCCACGACGGCCCCTGAAACCTTCAAAACGGCCCCCAGAGGGCCTCCAAGGTCGCCAAACAAGGTCCAAGATTGTCTCCAAGACGGCCCAAGACGGTCCAAGATTGCCTCCAAGATGGCCCAGAGAGTCCAAGATGCCTCCAATCCCGCCCAAGAAGCCCCCAAGACGGCCCAAGAGGCCCCCAATAGGCCTCCAAGACGGCCTGGGGAGAAGAGGTCCTCCAGAAAGGGCCCGAATCTGCCCAAATCAATGCTTTTCTTTTAATATTTGGGCCTTCCGACGGCCCGAGACGGCCCAACCCCCAGGTCGCTCCCAGATCGCCAAAAACGCCTTCAATTTGGCCCCGTGATGTCCCAAGAGGCCCCCAAGACGGCTCCCAGAGGGCCCCAAGACGGGCCAAAAAGCCCCCAAGACGCCCACGATAGCGTTCCAGACGGCCCTGAAGCACCACAACAGGGCCCGAAGTCGGTTCAGAAAGGTCCCCCAGACGGCTTCCGACGGCGTCCGGCAAGCCAAGAACGCCGTAATACGGCGAAGGAGGCGCCCAAGAAGCCCCAAAAGGCCACGAAGACGCCCAAGGATCCCCCCAAAAAAGACCTCCAAGAGGCCCCCAATAATCTCCCAGGAAGCTTCACTAGTGGCCCAAGAGGCTCCAAAGAGGCTTCCTCCTCCTCCTCCTCCTGCCCTCCTCCTGCTGTCCTCTCCTCCTCCTCCTCCGCCTCCTTCCTCCTCCTCCCCTTGATTCTTGTCCTCTTCGCCTCCTCCGCCTCCTCCTCCTCCTCCTCCTCCTCCTCCTCCTCCTCCTCCTCCTCCTCCTCCTCCTGATATTCCCTATCATCCTCTCCCAAAGGTCCCCCTTGTAGAATTTCCAGAACAGCTGGAGGAACACGTAGTCCGATAAGTTGGGCGATCTTGGGGCCCAACGTGGGGCCAAAAGGGGGCGCTTCCCAAAATGGCAGGGGGCGGCGTTGATTCACCGCTGGCGTCTTGGATGTTGAACGGCCGATATCCCCTTTTTCTCCCTGCGATTTCTATTCCAAACTCAATGCACGCGTGAACCGCCGCCCCGTGTATTCCGCCAGGGACGACGCGGGAGAAGCATTTCC